TAAATACACTAATTCAGTCAAGAATATGTGTGTTAAAGATGCATTTCTTAACACATGGTGTTCATTGATACACTATCAAAACATACAGCAGAAAGCTAATAACAAAGGGTAAATATAGAAAAATACAAAGAACGTAGAAAAGGATGAATGGAGAGAACAGATGGGAAATTAACAAGCTAATTGACTTAAACCTTAAACCTATAGTAGGAATATAAACTAATCTTCTTAGTCTCTGTTATTTGATATTTGGTGCAACCATTATTTTTAAAATGTTAATAACTGTATAATTTGAAATTGATATATTGATCTGAAAAATTTTTATAGCCATTTCCTTTGCTAAACACAGAGTATCACAATAATAAATTTCTTATTCATTGGAGCTCCTGGGTGGCTCAGGCAGTTAAACATCTGACTTTGGCTCAGGTCATGATCTCACAATTAGTGAGTTTGAGCCCCACATGGGGCTCTGTGCTGACTGACAGCTCAGAGCGTGGAGTCTGCTTCAGATTCTGTCTCCCTCTCTCTCTCTGCCCCTCCCCGCTCATGTTCTGTCTCTCTCAAAAATAAATATTATTAAAAAATAATAAAAAATAAATTTCTTGTTCATGTACTTTAAAAATCTTGACACTCCCTCATTGCTGTGTAATTCGAACTTGCTTTTATATGTCATGCCACACCTCAAACATCTACCAACTATGTTGGTTCACTGCCTGTTACAAGCCACACCCATCCACATCTGCTGTTACAGATTTGCCCGTCAAAGAACTTTCCTTCCACCACTTCACAATAAACCACAAGCTACGGTCCTGTGCCACCCACTTCCCCAAGTGAACTTCAAGTCTTTTTCAGTGCAGGATGCTATATTTATTGTTGTGTTTATGTATTTTAATCAATTTAGCTTGTGTGAAAATTTTTTTTTGAAAAAAAATTTTTTAATTGGGTTCTTCTCTTTTTTAAATGTGTTACTGCTAGAGTTTTGGAATGCCATGCTCTTACCCCATTTTTTCCCATAAGCCCTGTGGTTTTTATTGCATGATTTTGTATAGTGCAGTGAATTTAAGGAACTTAAATGTGATAATATAATGAGATCCCCTCCCCCAGTTTCTGCATTTATAGGTATTTTACTGTGAAATAAAATTTTCTTATTTTCATGTGAGAAATGCACGAGTATGCAGCTCAGTGTTCCTGTGACAGTAATAGGTTTTGTTTTTTTTTGTTTTTTCTGGCTGCTTTCACTATTTCACTTTGTTCTTCGTTTTCAGTAGTTTGGCTTGTGACTTGTGCATAGGTGTGCTTTTCTTTGTGTTTAACCTGTATTTAACCTGTTGATTATTGAATCTATAAATGCTTTTCCCAGATTTGGGAGATTGTTCTCAGATTTTTAAACCCATTTTCTCTTTCTCCTTGTGGGAATCGGGTTACATGTATGTTAGACCTTTGGATACTGCCTTAGGCAACTCTTTTTTCCCCTCATTTTTTCTCTCTGTTCTTCAGATCGCTCTGTCTTCATGTTTACTTAACTCATTTTGTCATTTCCAGTGTGCCGTTAAGTATGTAAGTGCTTATTTCAGGTATTTTTCAGCTCTAGAATTTTTGGGTTTTTTTTTTTTTATTGTTTCTTCTTCTTTGTTGAAATGATTACAAGCATATTTCCCTTTACATCCTTGAGCATTGTAACAAGAGTTGCTTTAAATTCTTTATATTTTAATTTCAACCACTCCATCATCTCAGGGTCATTCTGTTTTTTGTTTCTTTTCTCTTGAATATGGGTCATGTTTTCCTGTGTCTTTATATGTAAAGTACCATTAATTATATTCTAACGTGTTAGGTATGGATTATAGAATTTTAAAATAATAGTATTTTGAGGAATTATTTTTAGTTACATATGTCATCATTTTTTGTGCTGATTATTGTTTCTTTGACCCTTGCATTTCTTGTTTTTTTTTTTTTTTTTTTTTTTTTTTTTTTTTTTTTTTTTTTTTTACTTTTTCACTTTCTGATAAAGCATATCTTGAAGTAGTTCTTTTGTGAGGGTCTGTGGATAGTAAAACTGTTAGCTTTTTAGTGTCTTTAAATACCTATGTTGCCCTCATTTTCAGTGCAACTTGATCTGGGCATTAAGTTCTAGGTTCTTTACCTTAAGTTCTAGACTGTTCTTTAGTGCTTTGTGCCATTGTTTATTGCCATCAACTGCCGCTGGGGCAAAATCTGCTGTCAGTCTAATGGTCTTTTCTTGGAGGGACATAAGCTGCATCTTCCCTTTGGAAGCTTTTAGGATTAAGTGTTACCGATATGCTGTAGTGTGTCCGCGTGCGGGTTTATTTTTATCTTCTTCAGTGTGTATGCGCTTTCAATTCGACAATAATAGTTTTCAGTTGTGGAAAATTAGCCACCTATCTTAATAAACACTGATGTTCTGCTTTAATTTTCCATGCTAATGGCTCCTTTTTCCTTTTACGTATCCTAAATGTCCTTTTTAAATTGTTCCCTCTGTCTTAATTGTCCACTTATTTGTGTCATCTAGAATGAATTCTTGTTGCAGTTGTATTTATTTCCTTGGCCTATGTTTGGTATATCCTATAGAGTTTTGCTTTTGTAGTCTCATTTTGATTAGAAAATTTAAAGTTTCTCTTCATTTTGTGCATCTTTTTCTATCCTGATTTTCTCCTTATGACAGTTGGTACTTTCTAACCCCTGGGCCCCCAAACAAAAGCAGGGAGAAGAGTCTTCCAGGTCTCTCTTCAGGGGGATTGGCAGCCTGGCAGATTCGGTCCCTGATCATTCAACAGCTTTGTTCAGGTTTAGTCAGGAGGCTACTGCTAGCCTTATCTAGGCCACAGTGTCCAGTAGGCTTAAGCCAAGGCAACAAGTGGTATCAGTATTTTCTTCTCTTCCTTTCAGGAGCGGAAGCCTGTTCCAGTCTTTGGTCTTAAGCAGTGAGCACGGCTGATGTGCCTCCTGGGGAGCATTTTTAGTCGTCGTTTTCCCAGAAGGGGAAACTCGTAGCCATTAATGGGTGCTCCTAGACCCAGAACCTTGCAGGTCTGCCGTCGTGTCCCTGCTCGCAGCTTCGTGTTTCTTCTCAAACACTTAAGTCTTGTACTTTATTAAGTCTTTTATTTCTCCCAATACTTACATTGCATGTAAAATACGTGCAATACTCTCAAAATCATTCTAGTTTTGAAAATCCATTGGGAATCTTTCTTAAATCTTATTACATGTATATATTAATTTTAGAAACATAGTCTTTTTTTGTACTGTCAGGCTATCCAAATACATAGTATATCCATGTATTTATAGCTTTTATTTTAATATATTGTTTTCATGCCGTGGGACTCCTGTTTTACGATTTCTGTAGTTTTGTGACTGTATATTTACACACACCACTTTTTTTTCTCTGGTTACTACTAAAAGAGAAATGTAAATGTTGGTCTCATATCTAGTCACTTTGCCAAAATAATTATAGTTGACCTCTGAACAACACGGGTTTGAAACTGCATGGGTACACATATGCAGATATTTTTCAATAAATGCAGCACGGTAGATGTATTTTTTCTTCCTTATGATTTCCTTGACATTTTCTTTCTTTAGACACTTACAACTGTATTGTAAGAGTACGGTGTATAATGCACATAGCATACAAAATATGTGTCAGCTGACCGTTCATGTTATTGATAAGGCTTCTCTGGTCCATAGCAGACAATTAGTTAGGGAGAATCAAGTTATACTTGGATATTTGACTGCATGGGGGTCAGTATTGCAACCCCCTGCATTGTTCAAGGGTCAGCTGTAATTCTAAAAGCTTTTAGTAGACTCTGTGGTTTTCTATGTATATAATCATAGCAACTACAGGTAAAGATTATATCTTTTAATATTATACTAGTTTTTTTTATTATTTTTATTAAATCATCTGAAAACTTCAAAACCGTGTTTAACAGTTGTAGACAACTCCATGTCCTGATTTTAATGGAAATGGCTTCAGGGTTTACTGTTGAATATCTTCCTGTATTAGAGTTGGGCGGGGGGTGGAGTGGGGGGGGGGAGTGTGTCATATTTCAGTTTCCTTATACTCTTATTTTGCTTGAGTTTTTATTAGAAATGTAGCTAAAATTGGTCAAATGACATTTTATTTTAATGTTTATTTTTGAGAGAGAGCAGGAGCCGGTGAGGTGCAGAGAATGAGGGAGTGGTGGGGGAAGGGGTGGGACATACAGATTTTGAAGCAGGCTCCAGGCTCTGAGCTGTCAGCACAGAGCCCAACGCAGGGCTTGAACTTACCAACCGTGAGATCATGACCTGAGCCGAAGTCGGATGCTTAACCGACTGAGCCACCCAAGGCATCCTGTCAAATGCCATTTTAAATCCTGGTGCAATCATAGTCAGTTAGCCTTTTAACAAACTGGATTCAGTTTACTGTTTTATTTAGTTGTTGGGTTTTTTTGTGTCCGTATTTACAGGTGTATTGCTTTATACTTTTCCACTTTTCTCCTGTCTTTATAGGTTTTATTAATATTTCATAAGCTTTTAAAAATGCTTTTAAGTGTACTTTTATTAAATATTTCAGATGTTTTTATATGAATTTGACATCCTTTTTTTTGTGGTCTAGATCTTTACTGTGTCTTTTCAGAAATATATTTGTTTCCTAATTATTGTTTTCTTTTTCTTCCACAAGTCCCCCTACACTTTTTATTAGAAGTCTTAATCCTAAATATTTGTGTGGATAAGTTGAAAGGTTTTTCTAGTTGTTAGTAGAGTGCATAATTATTTCTAATAGTTGGGGTGTCTTTATGAATGAGTACTGTAGGAATTTACTGTGAATCTGGGTTTTATTGTGCTTAATATTGTCCTTTTTGCCATTTAATGAATTGTAATAACTTTTGTAGCTGTCCTAGGAGTTTCAACTTGGGCTGGGTTCTGGTGTTTCAGGGTGTTGGGTAATTTTTTTACATATATGGTTATAATAACATGCTTTTCTCCCCCCTCCCCCCCTTTTTTAACAGTTACATGGGAATTGGTCTTTCTGCTCAAGGTGTGAACATGAATAGACTACCAGGTACTTGTGATTGAATTATAGTACTGTCTTACAACTACTTCTTTCTGGTTAAATTTGAAGTAATAATTTGAAATCGTTAAATACTGATTTTTCTGTGTTTTTAATCACGTGTGTTACGAGTTCAAAGTGGAAGCCGAGAGGTTTTAAAAAATTCAAATTTTATGTTATTTAGTAAAACTTACGTGTACTATGCATGTTTTTTGTTTTTTTGTTTTTTGGTTTTTTTGCTTGTTTTGTTTTGGTATTTTAACTTCCAGTATATAGCCATATCAACTACTTTAACTATTTTCATGTGATTGGTTGGTTCTCTTTGCTACCCAGCACATTCCTGGCTTTTAACCTGTTGTCATTTGTTTAATGTTCTGGGAATGTAGGCTAATAGGAAAAGTAAACTAAGGAAGGTGTGAAAGTGATTCTTGGATTATATTTTCTGGTATCCCACTTACCAATGTTAAAAAATTAATTTGGGGGGAAACTTTTTGAAAATAGAAAAATCTTATATTTTATACTAAATGCTGTGTGTGTGTGTGTGTGTGTGTGTGTGTGTGTGTGTCTAAGCCAAATCAAAGCAAAATTCCTTTGGTCTGTTAGCAAAGGAAATATGCACGGAAAATGTGACTTTTTTTTTTAATGGTAGGAGTCGTGTTTAATGCATGTTTTAGTCTTCTGTGTGGCATATTTTCCTTAGTGTTGTGAGCAGTATTTTAATGTAGAAATCATGTGGTGTAATTGTTGAGAATTTAAATGTACATTTGGGAATTTATCTTTGTGCTCTTGTTTGTTGTACCATTCTTGCTTGTCGTAATCTTAGTGAATAGCTGTCATACAGACGAACCTGACTTTTCATTGTAAATGTACTGGAACTTTCTCTTTAGGCTGGGATAAACATTCATATGGTTATCATGGGGATGATGGACATTCATTTTGTTCTTCTGGAACGGGACAACCTTATGGACCAACTTTTACGACTGGTGATGTCATTGGCTGTTGTGTTAACCTTATCAACAATACCTGCTTCTACACCAAGAATGGACATAGTTTAGGTACTAAGATAATGTATTGCATGTAAAATAACCGAATATTGTGATTATTGTACTTAATAGCATGGTAGTCACATTTATTATGTAGTTCTCTATTATAAATAGTTGCCCGTGGACATTATTTCTTTGTTCCTTACAGGTGGAGGTTGAGGAAACGGTGAAAATTTGTATTCTGTGAAGGCCACATTGTATCACATGTACGGGAATAACTGTGAAAATAATCCCCGGGGCTCACGTGTTTATTCTAGTAATAGAAGTAAATGCTAAGTGTTCTCTGCTTTGCTTTGAGTAAAACACTTTGTAGCATGACTGAAGTCTCTAGGTAACAGGTGCTAAGGGGAAGAGAAGGGCTGTCAGTTGGTAGTGTAGTATGGGGGAATAATGAAGGAAAAGATTGGTACTATCAAGCAAACCAAAGGCCGTGACCTACTGAAAGGTCAAGCCTGCTAACTTGCAGTGTGATGACTGCAGGATGATGGCTACAAGTTAGTTCTGCAGAAAGGAGCAGAACTGAAAGGAAAAAAATAGCAGGATTTCTACGGATAAAAGACAGATGGCAAATACACAATAAACAGGTTAATGGAAACACGAAGAAGCCTGTCCATTGTAAGACGAGTAGGAAATTAGGCTTTTTTAGTTGCGAATGCACCCACGGCACTTCAAATTCCGAATCGTATGCGGTTGTTACACTCGCTTTTCTTAGAAGTCTTTTTGCTTTCGTTTTTATACAGAAAGTATAAGGAAAGAATGGTAAGACTGATGCTTTTACAAATAAAATGGTTTCACATTATTTGAAAAATCCTTGGCTCAAAGCAAATTATTTCTGATGAGGTAAAGCGTAAGGAAGCAAAAAGTAATAAGTAGCTTCAGAAGGCAGAAATTTCAGTTGGCTCATAAACAGTATTGAAAAATTAGACTGCAAATAGTGTCCGTAGGCAAATAAGAGATGTTCTTTGATAGAACACAAAAGCTGTTGTGTCTTTCGTTTCATCGTGGGAAATTCTAAGTGTTTTGCTACGTTGGTAATAGCTATTTCTTTCTAGTGCCTCAGCATCTTCGTGGTATGCAGTTAATGTCTTCACATTTATATATGGCTTCAATCTTTTCCTTCCAATTCTTAATATTGATCCTGAAGCCCTGTGTTACCTGACTAAAAGGTCATTCCAAGTCCATACTAGACCCTTATATGGTCCTTGGTACAGGAACGTTGATTCAGGACGCCAGGCAAAATGTGCGTGTTTAAGGTTGGGTTGCTGTGGCCAGCCCGTTTCCAGAAGGATGCAGCCTCTTCAGCTTCTTTGTTAATAACTGCTTTGGCTCTGACTTATCAAAGCAGTTAACTGGGATGGTCTCAGTGGCCTTGCTCGCGTCAGATATTTGGTCTTAAGTTAGGAGAAATCTGCTTTGAGGTATGACTTTCGATTCAAAGATGCAAAGGAACACGTGTTTTTAAAACTTTATTCCAGAGAAAAAAATTCTATTTTGGGCAGTGGAAAGATCATAGGTGATGTGCCAGTTTCCTGTTCGAGTTTCACAAACATTTATGTTGAGGTTTTCTCTTGAATAAGAAACAGTTTTTAAAATGTGAGATGCTTTTTAGGAAAAGGGTACTTCAGTGATGGGATCACATTCTAATTTTAAGTAAATTTGAGACATTTGTCATGATTCGTTTCTAAAAGTAATGGTTATTAGGCCCACAGAGAGGCAGTATAAGAGCGATTGAAATGGGTTCTTTCGTTGCCTGCGTTTGTCTCCTGGCTTAGGCCTTGTGACCTTAGCAGGTTAGTGTTTGTGTGCCTCAATTTGTAAAACAGGATTACTGTAATACCCACCTTTTTTTGGTTGTTCAAGTCGACTGAAATGACGCATGCGAAGTTCTGAGGTGATTGCCTGGCACATAGTGAGGATGCACTAAATGTTGTTTATTATCATTGTTTGCCAGGGTCTGGGCTAGATGCTGGAAGTCCAGTGGTAAAAAATGACTCCTCTAGGACAGAGGTCAGCAGACCATGGCTCATGGTCCAGATTGGTCTCCTGTCCTTTTTTTTTTTTTTTTTTTTTTTAAGTAAAGTTTCATTGGAACATAGCCACACCCATTCATTTGTGTAATGTGTATGGTTGCTTTCCCTGTTTCGGTGGCAGAATTGAGCAGTTGTGACAGAGGCCATACGGCCTGGAGAGCAGAACATACGTACTGTCTTTACAGAAGTGTGCTTACGTAACTTTGATCCGAATACTGGCATCTAGAAAATAAAATGTTATTTCCACAGTGTCGTTGTGTACTTCCTGGAGTGGATAATTACTACCCAAAAGCTGATACGTCTTTAGTTTCTGTTTCGTGAAGGTTTTCAAAACTGGATATTTACTGATCATAGAAATAGAAATGGAGAAGTTTTTATTTGAGGAAATAGGTAAAGGAGAAACAGTTCGGTATGCAGGTTAACTTAATTGGGAAAGTTTTTTACTTGTTTTATTGAATATTATCAACTGAAGATCACTTTTTGGAAAACCTCTTGCCAAGTCACAAAATGAGAAATATTAAAAAAGTGTCTTCTGTGTGAAATTTCAATAATTATACTAGTTACAGTGGCATCTTCCTGTGGTCTGGATGTGTACAGGTTGTGGTAGCTGGGTTTGGCCACGTTCAAAATGTTCATGTGTGGAATTGGGTTTTTCCATTAGAGTTTTTGGTAAAGACTGAAGATTTCGGTAATAACAAAAAGGAACTTTTGCTGAAACTATAAAAGTAGACAGACAGTCTTTGCTATAATAGACATCTTTGAGGAAAATAATTTATCAGGCTGCTAATTTATGGCAAATGGTAAAGATATGAATGGCAACTAAAATATTCTCTGATGTTTTCCGTATCCTGTTTAGTTTTCTGAAAATTTTAGAATAAATTTTCATATTTGGCCTGTAGTCCCTTTGCTTTCCATTTATTAATGAAGCCAAAAATGATCAGGATGTTTTACAGGGGACTTGGGGGAACCTCCAGCTTTGTTTGCCTTTTGACAAGCCAACATGAATTTACTAGTTTTTAAAAGTCATAAAAATAAGACTTTGACTACAAAACACTATTTCTACACATTTACTAAAAACCATCGAGTAGAGATGTATATAGTCTTTCCGTTTTATTACTTTAATATCAGATAATTGTGTTTTCTGATGGTATAGCACAATTACAGAGCCATAAAATCTCACGTGGGGAGAGACCATAAAGATAATTTAACAGAAACGCCCTCAATTTTTAGATGATGATCAGTCCCAGAGAGGTCATGGTATTGGTGTGGGTTTTTGTTTTGTTTTGGTTTGGTTTGGTTTGGGTTTTTTTTGCTTTGTTTTAATGTGTATTTAGACTGGAAGAACTGGGATTAACTGACTAGCCAACAACATCTCCTCCTCTTTTTGTAGAGCTCATTTTTTTAAACCTATCAGTGAGACCCTACAGAAATGTTTGTGGTTTATTTATTATTTTATTTTCCGCCGAGTAATGTATTTAAATACCTGAAGAGAGATTATTAAGTCATCACTTCGGGATGCCAGTAGACTTACTCCAGTGACGTCACGTTATTCAAGTATATTTGGAACATGACTATGTTCAAACTACTGCCAGGACATTCATGAGAAGTTCTCAACCGTGTAAATCTTGATTCTTTGAATGGGGAATTGACTTTTGTCACAGAATAGTCAAGTTATTTAAGAATGTACTTTCATGGGAAACGTTTTTTTTTTTTTTTTAAGGAAACACAAATACTGTATTTTGCATTGTTCACTTTTCTTTTTCTTGGGAACAAAAGAAATCTCCGCGCCCCTCCCCTCCCCCCTCGAATTACTGAAAAACTAAACCCAGGTGAGGAAGATTAAGTGATAAGACTGCATAGAGCAGCTTGGGTGTTGGTCAAAAATCAGATGTCACTGTCATGCAACCAGTATTCTTGCAAGGGTCCTCACATAGCCTAGGAGATATATCTAAAACCATTTTTCAAAATGGTACCCCGTAAACAAACTTGGTGTGTGACTAAGAAGGATGTGGACTTTGAGAGGAGATAGCATTCACTCCAACCTCTGTTGGTGTTATTGAGAAAAATGCTGGTCTCATTATTTTATATTTAGCCTTTAAATTTTTCCTTTCCTTCCTTTGCCATTCCTTCCCTTGTTTTCAGTTACAAATTCAGTTCAGCTTTGTCACTGTTGTCTGCCTTTGAAAAACCATTTCTAATGCCACTTTTTTTGGTTTTTGTTTGTTTGTTTTTTAGGTATTGCTTTCACCGACCTACCGGTAAGACATAATTTCTTTTACAAGCAGTCTTGCATTTTTAATTAAAAGAATTTAAACTAGTATTAAGCATGTGTGGAATTCAGTCTTACTGATAATTATTAATTTTAGAATATCATGCGTACAATAGAGATCCTTTCTGTAGCCACCGCTGTTGTGCACTTTAGAAATTAAACTCCCAAGTTGCTCTGGGTGCCACGGCACAAGGGAACTTTGTTGTAGCTAAAAAAAAATAAATCAGGATTGATTCTTAGACTACACCTTGTAATGTCACTGCATTCACTTGGTATCCCTGAACTTTTCAGCAGGTGGCTGTGCCACAGTTCTGGTCATTTATTAATGCAGTTGTATATTGAGTGCCTGCTTGTGACAGGTTCTGTGCTTGGGATACGTCATTCATCAAAACAGGTGGAGGTCTCTCTCCTCTTGAAGCATTCACACTGGGGAATAGAGAATAAACAATTCATTAAAAACAAGTAAATTATAACCTATTTTAAGTACTTTTTAAAGAAAGAAAATGTGGGCATAGCAAAGACAAGAGGAGCTGTACGGTTTGCTCACCTTTGCTCAGGGTAAGTCTCGAGCAGAGACTTGTGGCGAAGTGAGGGAGTCAACTGAATGGGTATGTAGAGAAGGGCACAGGCAGAGGGCACAGTCAGGGGAGCCATACTGAGGCAGGAGCACAGAGAGTGCTAGGTGAGTCAGAGGTCATGGTGGGAGAGGACGAGCTAGATCACAGAGGCCTTGAGGGCCATTGTAGGGACTCGGCGTTTACTGTGAGTGGAAGGCAGAGACCCTGCAGGGTTTGAGGTATAACTTAAGTTTTAAAGGGTCACTGACTGCTGGTTGAGACCTAGACAGGGACAGGGAGGAAGGGTAGAAGCAAGCAGACCTGTGAGGAGGCCATTGAGAAATTGAGGCAGGAGATGATGGTGACTCCCCTCATTAGAGATGTGAGAACTGGTGTGATTCTAGATACATTGTCGAGTCAGAGGCTGTCCATTGTCATGTGCATCATGTATATATAACACTACAGTAAGGGAAAAAACCTAACAAACAACGACACGATGCTTTCTTGTCACTTAGAATTTTTATTGTGTATTTATTGAATTATCTATTAGCGTATTTAAATAGATGCTTTTAATCCATATCACTCGTTGCACACTTAAAAACAATAAGATCTGCAATATAGATTGAGGTATTCCCCAAACTTAGTGGCAAGAGTCCAACCTTTGAAATCACTTTTTTAGGGCGCCTGGGTGGCGCAGTCGGTTAAGCGTCCGACTTCAGCCAGGTCACGATCTCGCGGTCCGTGAGTTCGAGCCCCGCGTCGGGCTCTGGGCTGGTGGCTCGGAGCCTGGAGCCTGTTTCCGATTCTGTGTCTCCCTCTCTCTCTAACCCCTCCCCCATTCATGCTCTGTCTCTGTCCCAAAAATAAAATAAAAACGTTGAAAAAAAAAGAAAGAAAAAAAAAATTTGAAATCACTTTTTTAGAGTTGACATCTGGTTGTCTACATGATGGGGCTTCTGGGCCATCAAGAACATTTCTTAAGAGCTGTCCATTACGTCTCTGGCATTTTCTGCTAAGCTCCTGGTGCCATTGTGCAGGCTCTGATGACAGCCCTTTTTAATATTACCAAAAGGTACTAACCAGAGGTTTTCTGACAACAGTCAGGACTCTGATACTTCTTTCTTTGTTGGTCCATTCATGACTTGTTGACTAAAATTGCAGTTATCCATGTTTCACCAGGAAAAACATTGTTTTAACAAATTCACACTCTTGCGGGCACAGCGACAGCTGCCTGACCGGACACATGTAAGGTGCCACCGATGACAAGACACGTTCCAGTTTCCGAGAAGTTTTGGGAAAAGTGGCAGGAGAATCGGCAGAGAGCAGTCATCTGACCCGTAGATTGTTAATATTCCTGAAGAAGATTTTAGGGGAGGAAAAAACCCAGAAAGAAACCGAAGTTATAATAGAAAACAACTCCGCTAAGCCAAGGAGAATTTGGAGTCTAAAATCAACATGCTCGCCAGGAAGCATTATTTAATAATAAGCAGTGATGGAACAGGTGTTTCTTTTTTTTTTATTATTATTATTTTTTTTAACGTTTTATTTATTTTTGAGACAGGGAGAGACAGAGCATGAACAGGGGAGGGTCAGAAAGAGGGAGACACAGAATCTGAAACAGGCTCCAGGCTCTGAGCTGTCAGCACAGAGTCCGACGCGGGGCTCAAACTCACGGACCGCGAGATCATGACCTGAGCCGAAGTCGGCCGCTCAACCGACTGAGCCACCCAGGCGCCCCAAGGTGTTTCTTTTTTTGAAAAAACATGTCATCTTGGGGTTTTGTCTTGTGTTTGTTACAAAGTAAGTTCCAGGTAAAGAGTTAAATTAAAAAACAGAAATCAATATGATTGAACAAAACCCCAACTGAGAGCCAGAGGCAAGAGAATTTTCTGATGGATTGGATGTGAACATATGAGAAAGAGGATAGGACTTGGAGATTCTTGGCCCGAGGAACGGAAAGGATGGCGATGTCACTTACTGATAGAGGGCTGTGTGTAAGGGAAGCAGGCTTTGAGTGGGGGTAGATCTGGCGTTCAGTTTTGGAAAAGTGAAATGGACTTGCCAGGTATACAGCATTCGAGAGCATGATCTGAGCTGGAGACGAAAACTTGGGAGTCTTTGGCATTTCAGTATGTAAATTTAAAGTCACGAGACTGTGACGTCAACAAGGGAGTGTGTGTAGGCAGAGAAGAAGGGGCATGCGTGTTTGGGAGAAGAGATGGGAGCAGCAAAGGGAGATTGAGACGGAGCAACGGGTGAGGTAGGAGGAAGACTTAGAAGCGAGTGTGTCCACAAAGCCACGTGAAGAAAACCTCTCTAGAAGGAAGGAGTTAGCAGCTGTGTCAGATGTCCGTGTGATAGATCCCATAAGCTAAGGACTGAGAATTGACCGGCGGATTTAAGCGGAGTGGAGGTAGCTGGTGACTTTGACAAAGTTTCAGCCAACTGAGTGACGGGGAAATCCTCATTGGAAAGGGTTTAAGAGAGAATAGGAGGAGGGGAATCACAGAGTACAGACAACCTGGTGGAGAATTTGACTGCACTAGGGAGGAAACAAGTGGGCTGTCGTGGCTGGTGGCAGAAGTGGCAGCAGTGACAGATTTTTTTGATTTACTAGGATGTTTATTTGCTGGTGAGAATGATTCAGGAACAGCCAAACAAGCTAACGTAAAGGGAGAGGTACACCGTGAGTGGACAAGTTGGGGATCACATGACTCGTGGAGGGGAGGCTTCAGAGAAGAGCATCTGTGGAGGGGCCAGGGGTGGGGTGCAGCTGTGGATGCTGGCACGTAGGTCAGTGTGGTACAGAACCATCGCAGAGGCTTCGGGCAACACTTGAGTTTCATTTGCAGTTGGCCAAAGGGTTTCGCTGGTTGGGTGTTTGGGGGCGTTTTTTCCTCTTTTTGTGACCCAAAGTAAGTAGAACCAACTTGTCAGAACAAGCAGATGTTTTAAGAGCTCTTGTTCCTCACTTTCATGAGTGGTGACAATTTGGAAAAGACTCGCCGGTTGTAGACATGTTGACTATTTTTGTGTTGCCTTCTGGTTATTTTTGTCCCATTTTAGAATCACTGGTTATGTTTCTTGCCTTGTCTATAATTAGCTGGTGGTAACTTTTTACCAACAGCGGGTAAAGTGGTAGTTAGGGTAGTGTTACAAGTTTTGTTTTGTTTTGTTTTGTTTTGTTTTGTTTTGTTTTGTTTTGTTTTGTTTTGTTTTGTTTCAATATAGTGGTTCTGAGAGCTTTTTATTCTTAGGATTCTGAGATCTGCTGGGACTTCCACATGCAGCACAGCATTCCATTCCACTCCTTGAAAAGGAAAGGGAAAGTGAATCTTTCCCCTAAGGGCCCCACCAAAGAAGTGTTTCTGTGTTCTCTACCTGTGATCTCTCACTGGCCAGCTGTAGCATTAAATCCTGGTAGAGAGTGTATTTACAGAAAAAAAAAGTTTAGACTATATTCCATTTATCACGGAACCTAGGGTGTTTACATGGCTCTGAAAACCCTACATTACATCTTTTCCAGAATAATCTTTCTTCCCCAGCTCACCTCACCAGTTGGAGAAATATCCATCTATAAACTAATTCACTTTGGGATTACATAAATTCTTTCTTTTTTGTTATAGAAGCTGTCCTCATTTAAAATGATGCTATTTTCCAGCTCTTTAGGCTGATTTGAAATCTACTTTTTATAGATAACATTATTCTTTTCATTTCTTTTCATTTCATTTCATTTCTTTTCATTAGAAAACATCTTTAGAACAAGATTATGCTACTGAATTTGATTTTGTGTGTGTATTTAGTTTCTGAATATTATTTTTAATATCTTTATCTTTAATAGGTTAATAGAAATTATGAGATCTGTGTTTCTCTTCATAGAGACTTATTTTCATTTTTGTCTGATTCTACATGAGAAGGGGTGATCTTTTTTTTTTTTTTTAATTTATTAAGTTTCCCAGAAAACATTGTTTTACATAAATCCACAACCTAGATTCATGCCGTATCACGGAAGAACCTTGAAAGCATTTTGCTAAATGAGCGAAGACGGTCACAAAAGACCACATATTGTATGAATCCTGTTTGTGTGAAACATCCAGAATGGGCAGCTGCATAGGGTCAGAAAGTAGATGAGTGGCGGTCAGGGGTTACAGGATGGGGAGCAGGAGGTGACTGCTAGTGATAAAAATGTCATAAAATTAAGTAGTGGTGATGGTTGCACAGCTCAGTGACCATACTGAAAACTGTTGTGTTGCTATATTCTGTTTCTAGAAACCTGTAGTCCAGCAAGTTAGTCTATTAGATTTTTTTTTTTTTATAATGTATAGTTTAGCCACTTAAGCCATTCCTTTCTCCTCAATTCTTCAGGTTTGAAGTTGAGTAAGTGGTATAAAAAATACTGTTACTTTTCATTGAATCCAACTGACTTTACCACTTCTAGTTTTTTATCACGTCCTGATTACAGAAGTAATACACAGTGTTAAGTATTTGAATAATAAATGTTTGTAAATACAGAAAGGTACAAAAGAGAAGTTTCTCGAAATTCCAGCCTGTTTAGACATGATGGCTGCATTGAATATATATCCTTCCAGGTCTGTTTCTGAATTTAGGTTAGCCAGTATGTCCATTATTTAAATGTTTACAGCAGAGGTGAGGTCATAGTTTATGTACTAGTCTCTAGCTTGCTTTTCTGCATTTAGGAATATAACATCTTTCTGTGTCAGCATACAAATTTTTTACTCTTGTTTTTTGCTTGCTTTTGATATCTTATTGTATGATGCGCTACCACAATTTCTGAGATGCACATATTTTCATATTTTGACACTTATTTTTTTAAGTTTGTTTCTTTTTGAGAGGGAGAATGAGTGGGGGAGGGGCAGAGAGAGAGAGAATCCCAAGTAGGCTCCGCACGTCAACGCAGAGCCCAGTGTGGGGCTCGAGCTCACGAACCTGTGAGATCATGACCTGAGCCGAAGTCAGATGCTTAACTGACTGAGCCACCCAGGCACCCTTCTGTTTTGACTTTTATAAAATGTGGGTGCATCTTAGAATCTGTGGCCTCCCACATTTAATTGGAAGTATTTTTTCTTAGACGTAAAATGATGGTATGTCTTACAATTATTGGAGTCTGAGTTTCGATGAATGTGGTATGTAATACCACTTGTGAATGGACATTCTTTTTCATATTTTTCCATTAAAATAATGCTTCAGGACATTATGTTTGTTTCTCTGTAGGATTTAATTCTTACAAGTGAAATTGCTCTGTCAGTTTTAATAGATTTTGCCAAATTTCTTTCTTAAAAGATGATATCCGTTTACATTGCTGTGCACAGTGGATGAGAGGGTTTACTGTCTCAACCTTCATCAACATTGGGTATTCTTAGCTTTTAAAATCTTAATCTAATGTGCAAAAAATTCTTCTTGTTTTAATTTGTATCTTAGGAAGGCCAGTGAGGTTAAGTGTCTCTTCATATTTTCATTGTTATTTTACATTTCTTCTGCAAATTGCGCGTATAGCTGTCACCACTTTAAAAACAATTGAGTTGGCCTTTTAATCTTTGTCCTGTATCTTGAGAATATTGTTTACATTGGGAATGTTGATTCTTACATGTGTAGCAGATTTTTTTTCCCCATAAAGTCCATTGTCTTGACGTTTATGGCATGTTTTGTCATAGGGAAGTCTTAATCTGTGTTATGGCACAGTTTTATCAGAGTATTTCTGAATGTTGATTTTCTTTTCTAGTGTTGATATGATTATTTTCCCGAGTTCGCCAGGAAAATTTAGATTAGCACACCCTTTTTAAAGCGTCTCTGGGCAGTGCTGAATGTCAGAATCACATTCTGCTTGACAAATGGGATTGCCTTTCACTCTGTTGTTGCCTGTATGAACAGTCTTTGGCTTTATATACTTTTGTTTTAAGGTATGTCAAAGTTTGGTTCTGGAGTTCAGTGGAAAGAATCATGGGCCAAAAGTGGAGAGGCTTGCGTCCCTTCTTTCATGTGTCTCATTCAGAGATGTGTGCTGCCACTCCCTGGGTCTCAGTTTTCTGGGGGGTGAAATGAGAGGGCTGGAACAACTATCTCCCTTATCTCTGGCTTAAAATTGTAAACACTTGCTAGTTTGGTTGATCTGGAATCCGGGCATTTGCGTACATCGCATCACCATTTATTTCCTGAATCCAGTGCAATTCTGTTCCTCAGTATTTTGACACAGTATTCCCTTTGTTTCTGATTTTGGTTGCTTGATCATCGATGAGTTGTTGTTAAATACATCCTCTCAGCTTTTTGCTGTGAAATATATCTAAGCATCTCATATTCACGTCCAATTATCCACTCTTAATCTTTACCCAATTTTGTAGTGAAAATATCTGTGATAACCATTAAAGCACAGAAATGAGGCATAAATACAGAGAATAAAGATGAAGTAAGCCTTGGAGTTAAAACTAAAGTAAAACTAAACGTGGATTTGTTGTCAGATTAATCTGTGTTCCAGTCCCTCCTGTGTCGTGATGCATACCATGAGCAAGTTAATTTACCCCAAACCTCACTTGCTTTATCTTTGTAATGCAAATAATAATTATTTCACAGGATTATTATTGCGCTTAAACCCTGCTATTTAGTAGACATTCAGTAATTCATCCGCCCTTTAGGTAGAACAACTAGTGATAGACCCAAAAGGATTCCTGTATTTTTTGCATACTCGAAGCTATTAAACTTGATTGTTTAGCTTCAGAATCTTGGAATAGATCTAAATGCATTTCTCTGTGAATTTGATTATTGAAATCCCTTTCCACTCCCGGAACGTGTGCATTTGAGTCTTTTATTTTTATACACAGACCCCACTCTTAATGGCACTGTGTGTTTTGCTTATAATTAAGTTCTTACCACCGTCCCTTTATAATGGCATGCCAAATGCACAGAGAAATGAAATCAGTAAACTTAAAGTGGCGCCTGCCCAGATAGAGTTGTACAGTAACTAGTCTTCTCATGAAGTCTCTAGAAAATGCATCAGACATATCATATATGAAAGCATAAATCCGAATTAATGTGTTTACACTTGAATTAACATGTAACTAGTATGTGACATGTTCTTAAGAGCAAGACTTATGTTTTTGCTTATTAGAAGTATAATGCCACATGGTCTCTGAATAAAACAGGTGGTTTAGGTGGCTTTAGACTTTTTCTTGATGATTAGATTATAGGAAGTGCTACTTTTTGTCGAGCATATGGTCTCACCTAGATTATTTGCTTACCTTTATTTGTCTTTAGCTAATTTTCTTTCTCTGCTGGTTTTGATTGAGATTTTAAACTATTCAAGAAGTAAAATTCTGAAAGGTAGCATTTGAAAGAATGACTGAGTCTTTAAAACAGTTAGATAGACGCTAGTGAAATGTGTTGTCTTACAGCCAAATTTATATCCCACCGTGGGGCTCCAAACACCAGGAGAAGTCGTGGATGCCAATTTCGGGCAGCATCCTTTCGTGTTTGATATAGAAGACTATATGCGAGAGTGGAGAACCAAAATCCAGGCACAGATAGACCGGTTTCCTATTGGAGATCGGGAAGGCGAATGGCAGACCATGATACAAAAGTAAGTGAGGAAGTTTGAATGGACGTTATTCAAAAATATATATATATTTTTATGAAACATTCTTCTAGTATGAAAGAATATTTATTGAAGCATTTTAATCTAATTTCTATCCTAATAATTTTAGCGTATCATTGATTACATTTAAGTCTCTATAAAAAGTAATTTACTCTTCTTAAACAATTAAAACTAATTTTTATATATCCTAATAATTTTAATGTAGTGATGATATTTTAATCTCTATAAAAAGTAATTCACTCTGCTTAAGCGATTAAAAATAATTTCGTATCTGGTCTTACTGATTTGGAGGACAAAATAAAGTGACACTAGATAGCTTGGGTTCATTCATTTGCTATCCTTAGTAATAGGATTTAACGATTTCCATAGGCTGCTTGATTCTGTTGTTAATAGTGCCAACGCAAAAGACAAATTCAGGAAGATAATTTAGGTTGTATAATTCGTGGTTTTGGACATGAACTTGGCTGTGTCCAGTTCGCATATTTATGGGGCTAAAAAAAATAATCCAGTTAAAATAATGGTATAGTTAATGTACTGGAATACACATTTGGGATGTACATTTTGTATTTCAAGTTTTGACTAAATTTTTCCAGTGTGTGGGTTACTCTGTCAGAAAAATACCAGCTACTTTTGCTTACTAGGATTCCTGTTGTGCTAAATATTTACTATTTTTCGTGGAGATTCAGGGAGGCTATAATTGCCTCTGTTCTAAATAGGAAAATCTGACCAAAAGCATTCTATGGCAGGAATTCTTAAGAATCACTAATTATTTTTAATGTAATTTACTTTTATATGTTCTCATTAGACATTTAAGAGGAAGCAAAAAGAATGAAGATCAAAGAGTTAAGAATATGGAGTGAGGATTCCTAAATGCAGGATTAATACTTAGGATTTAGGATGATAACAGAATGGGTAGCAGCAAACAATGGGTGTCAGTAAAAGTACTCCAAACTGAACAACCTTTATCTTAACTCCTTTATGAAAAAATAGAATTTCATTATGGAAGTCAGCAGGAAAATGCAAGTCCTGTGACAGTCAACTTTGTAGACTATACCTTTGCGAAAAGGCTAGAGATGACACCTGGGTGTCAGTAGCACTAAACAGTAGCTCTGAAAGCTTGAAATGGTACAGACTTAAAAACTAAGTACCAGTGAATTTAAATAGTCATTTTCACTGCTGTCATCTCACCCAAGAAAATAGCAAAGGCTTGGAGATACCATCTATCCGACAGTGTGTCTTAAATGTCTGTGTAATTGCTTTGAACAGTTGTAAACTTAAAGATACAATAAAATTTTGTGTGTGTGTTTTTTGGAGGAGATAGTGATTGGAAGACATGATGGTAATTTGGAAAACATGCTTCTTCCTTGGAGCCGTTATCATCTGGTATCACAGAAGCTCTCCACCGGTAGTCTTTGCCGGCACACTTGACCCAGCGGTGAAGTCTGGCTGAACGTCTCGTGGTCACCATGAGTTAGAGCTCAGATAGGTTGCTGTCCCGGGGTCACCTCCCTTTCATGCTTTAAAAATGGGTGCCGCTGAGCATCCTTGCAGGGGAGTAGTAGCGGAAACCTCGTTTATCTTAATTCTGTGGTCAGAGTCCGGGGAGGACCCTCGCCGCCACCACGTCCTTTACAAAAGTGACACTCACCATGACCTCCTAGGGGGTCCATTTAAAACAGTTCTTCCCTACCCTTTTAAATTAATTTGACCAATTAGATGAAATAAAATGAAAAATCTTGTTTCTTGGAGATTTGCCCCTCTGCCCCCCAGTCCCTCCTTCCGGAACCACAGCTTCCTTCCCCATTTTGATAGGGCCTCAGTAGTGCCAGATGGAGGCAGGTTTAGGAGTTGAATACTTGGATATATTGGTTATTTGGGTTAATATTGTTGAGTTGAGTTTTTGTAACCTTTTGTGATTAGATGTAAATGTGTTTTGACCGCTTGATGGCCTTTTAAAAAGTACACTTGTTCTTTGGAAGTATGGCACTTCCATGTAAATCACAGCTGAGTCAGTTTTTTGTGTGTACAGTCATACTAATAGATTTAGATTAGAAGGGCAGTTTCTCATTGATTAGTAGAATTGCCCTCAGAGACTTTGTTCTGGAAGATTCTCAGGTTCACCTTAGCGTTTCTTGTGTTCACCTCCTGTGACCCCATCTCTTGTAACTGAGGAGCAGAGAAAGGAGTCGAGCTCCACACGACACAAAGAGTTAATCTGTTATTTAAAAATTACTGTATTGTATAAAATGCTGACACTTCACTGGGATAAGCCATGCAGTAAAGATGAAACCGAAATTACGGTTAGTGGGATTGAATATAAGGATGGGAATAGTAGGAAAGGCCCCGGGGATAACGGGGAGCCAAGAATCAAGAGCTGTATAATGTCCTTGCCTCTCTAGTGGTAGTTACTCCTAGGGAGAGCACTCTTCACATGGGATTTGCAGCTGCCTTGTTGGAAATATGACATGAATAGAACAAAATGATTTTTTTTTTTTTTAACTTTAAAGTTGAGGTTCTTAAAGCCTGGTTTCAAGGGAATAGGTTGGTTTTGTAACATCAGAGTAGATCTTGTTTTATATAACTTGTAGTATGAAGCCTGTATTCTCTTGACTAAAAGATGTGTGTTTCTTCTTTTTATTTTAAGAATGGTTTCATCTTATTTAGTCCACCATGGGTACTGTGCCACAGCAGAGGCCTTTGCCAGATCTACAGACCAGACCGTTCTAGAAGAATTAGCTTCCATTAAGAATAGACAAAGTAAGGACCCTGTGGTGCATGGATAACACTTGTTTTCAGATTATAGGTTTGGTTATATCAATTTTTAGAAATTTTATTTTTTAAACTAAGATCTTTTCAAATATATTAACTTAAAATGGATGCCTCTGAAATTTATTTTCACTGACATTTTTGAAGACCACCTTAAAAAACACTCACGTAAGACTGGGTTAGCGTTCCGGATGTAGAAAGAATTTTGGAGAAAGTTTTATAAGGAATGTTTACCATTTTTTCTTAAAAAATGTTTGCTTTAGCTTTTAGGAAGTAAACATTAAACAAAAAAAAAAAAATTTTTTTTTTTTTTTTTTTGTAGTTGGTAAAGTAATCCCATGATTAGAGACTAGCAGAGATAATATGTACAAAGCAATGTAAACCTTTGCATTCAAATCGCTCGCTAACCTTAAGGTAGTATTGGTCTTCCGTTGTACTGCCCGGGTCCCGGTGCTGTGGCCAGAGCTGTCGGCCCGGGCTACCAGGGGCACGTCAGTGTGTCGCTCCCACAGTTAGCCTCCTAAGTGACAGTGGTGCAGCTAAGTCCACCAGGGAGGGGGTGGCTTGACGAGACCCTAGGCATCGAAACAACGTGATGGGTGAAAGCGATGTTTTTATAGGTCGCGCTGCTATAAGAACACTTACTCCGTTGTGTTGTCACCAACTGTAGGCTTGTCTGTCTTTCTCGCTGTGTTTAAGCTCTGGCAAACCGGAGATGATCACTTTTTTTGTGTGCCCATCATGTAATTGAACAGCTTACCTGACAGCGGGGAACACTCAGTGAATGTTGAATTCAGACTTTACTCCAAGGCTACCCATTCTCTCAGTACTGGATTCAAAAGGTTACCATGTTTGATAAGGCATTTTGAATATTACCTCTTTAATGTTTGCTATGGTCTTTAAAAAAAAAAAACACAACACTCTACTGAGATATGATTGGCATATTAGATAGAAGCTGACGTATTTAGTGTGTAAGTTGAAGAGTTGGGGCTTAAGGATTCCGTGAAGCCAGCACCACACTGTATGCCGTAAACACGTCCCTGCTTTTAATCTTCGTGTTTAAAACTTCAGTAATGCTTCACAGATGTTTTTCTGTATTACTTGTATATTAATTCATGATTTTTAGAAATAGTTTATGAAAGTACTTGTTTTTCTAATTTTTTAATGTGTCTGAAATTGTTCCTTGATTGCCTGATAGAAAGTATGATTTAAAACAAAAAAAGAAATGGAAGTTAATCACCGTAATTTAAATACTTTTTTTGACTAACTCTTTTTTTGACGGTCCACTAAGTTTATGTTTCTACTCTTAAAAAATTAATCTTTTGCCTTCTTTTTCTAAATAGGAATTCAGAAATTGGTGTTAGCAGGAAGAATGGGAGAAGCCATTGAAACAACACAACAGTTATACCCAAGTTTACTTGAAAGAAATCCTAATCTCCTTTTCACGTTAAAGTGAGTTTGTTTAACAAAACGTTATTGTGTGTGTGTGTGTGTGTGTGTTATGTATAATCAGAATTGTTTTCATGTTTTAATAGTTTTTGTTTCACCTCGTGTCAGGTATTTACATATAATTCTGTGATACAGCACATCTCCATAACAGTTTGTAAAAAACACTTTTGTGGTAGGATTATAAGCAGATGGCATCTCTTGCCATGTTTCTGCTCTTCTGTGGTGCTAGCTATATGTTTAAAAATGTTAAAATTGTAGTTAGAAGGTGGATATCTGTTTTTCTTCCTGCAGAGTACCTTATTGTAAGTCTGTGTCATTTTGAAAGCTGTGGTAAAATATACGTAACGTTTGCCATTTTTGCACGTGCACTTCTGTAGTCTTTTTGTTTTAAGTTTATTTTGAGAGAGCACGCACGTGCACCAGTGGGGGTGGGCGGCGGAAGGAGTGGGGGAGAGAGAATCCCAAGCAGGCTCCGCCCTGTCAGTGCAGAGCCCGACGCAGGGCTCGTGTTCACGAACTGTGAGATCATGACCTGAGCCAGAATCGAAAGCCCGGCGCTCAACCGTCGGAGCCACCCAGGCACCCCGTGCTCTTGCGTAGTATTAAGTGGAGTCACATTGTTCTCATCGTCACCCATCATCCACCTCTAGAACTTTTTTCATTCTCCCAAATGGAAACTTGAAGTCCCCATTTCTCCCTTCCCTGCCTCCCAGCAACCGCCATTTTACTTTCTGTTTCTGTGAATTTAAATTCGGCTGCTCTGGGCGCCTCAGATAAAAGAAAGCGTAACAGTGTCTGTTCCTGTAACTGGCTCATTTCTCCCAGCGTATTGTCCTCAAAACCCATCCATGTTATATAGCATGTGTCAGTTTCCCTCCTTTTGAAGCTGAACAATTGATAGACATTTGGGTCGCTTCCACTTTGGTTCTTGTGAATGACGCTGCTGTGAACAGGGGTGGTGTATGAATATCTGTGCGGGGTCCCTGCTTCCAGCTCTTTGGGGTATATACCCAGAAGTGGGATTGTTGAACCTGTGGTAAATCTGTTTCACTTTTGGAGGAGATTAATCCTTAGAGCTCTGTAGCCCTGCACCATTTTACAGCCTCAGCCAGTGGTATGCAAGAGTCCTGGTGTCCCCACATCCTGCCGACACTTCGTTTCTGCAGCTTTTGTTTCAATAGCCATCATAATTTGGCGTTTCTTTTTTATTGGTGTTATGAATCTTTGTTCTTTTAAAATTCAGGTGTTATGAAGCCTAATATTTCAACTCTCTACGTACCAGACGCCCTTTGTGTTTGCTTTTCTTTTTTTTTTGAGAGAGAGAGTGAGCCGGTGGCGGGGGCGGGGGG